AGGCAGAGGACGTCCTCCAAAGCCATAGATGCAGAGTACTGGGTGCGTCTCAGACACCACAATGATCCTCTAAAAGATCGGTGGTTCACAAGAGAAGAATTAATGAAGACTATTCCCCAAATTATCTCAAGTTATGAAGGAAATTAGAAAGGGAAGCAGACTGCTGCTCAGAGGAATATCGAAGTAAAGGAGGAGGAAGTGCGAGGGTCTGACCGCCTGGCATATGGCCCTGCAGCAGGCCCATGCCCGCCCTAAGTGAAGGCGAACCCCTTCTGAATCTCAATGCGCCTCAAACTCGTCAAAGCTTGGTCGGTGCCAGTCAGTTGCCACGCGCTAGTTGGTTACATCCACCTTGCACGTGACAACGAGAAAGATATGTGAGCCTTCCAGGACCTTCTAGCAACGTGGTCGAAGCAGAGGACATCACACATTTGCGCCTGGGTGGTTGGGCATGCCTAACCATTTCGGTCCCAGGCCACTGTCTGAACGGGCCTGGGCGCAGACACTTCGGCCCAATCTGAAGCTACTCTCACACACAACGTCGGACCGAGCGGCAAACAGGCCAGACCACTAGCACGAGTGGAGCATTCAGGCACCAGTGCACAATGCAGCAGCGCTGCTAGAGCGAGTGCTCGCGGCATAGGCTGTGTGCTAGCACAGGGTGCTGGAGCGTGCGTGCATGCGAGCAGGGTGCTGCTGAGGGCAGCACCATAGCCCAGCCCCCCATAGCCCGCCTTCGGGCTTGGACAGTCAGCAGGTGGTGGTGGTCTTCGTGTATGAGGAAGAAGGCGTGGGTTAGAGGAGACGAGGGGCACAAAGAGAGAGATGAGGGTGGTGATGTTAGGGCACATACTTGGTTTTGGCGATTGTCAAGGGTCGACATCTTCATGTACTTCGGTTCGGCTGCTGACGTCAACAGTTGCATTGTCTATTCGTAGGCTGGTAGTAGCTGCATGATTACAGTCGGGACGCTGAGCACCAGATAGGAAGAAGGGCTCTGGATACTTATGTTGGTGACGGCGAGAGTATGTTCTCATTGACACTCAGAGTCAGTGTCTTGGTTCTCCATTGATGTAATACCAGTGCAATTCTGCTTTCTGGACACTGTCGGACTTCCTGGCTTTCAATGTGATTTTGACATTTCACGATTGCTCATTTTCCTTGCATCAGTCTTAAGAACTGTAAAACCTTCAGATCAAGCTTGGGTCCAAATCTCAGACCTCCATATTTTATTTCTTTATATATTTATTTTCTTTTCTTTTACAGTGCATAAGTAGGGCACGTGACATGCCAGTCAAAACCGAACTTCCCTGTTACGCCGCTGAGGACCTCTGAAGCGGGCACCGGGGGTGACAGACGCCGCTGCCTCTAGCTTCAGCGACGAACAGGCATCTCCTCCCCGAGCTTCCTCACACCATAACAAGAACCTCACTCAGGAGGTGAAATCGTTTGTACGCCAGACCCGCGGTGAGCATCATGGCGAACTGTCTGCTGATGTGTACATGGTAATAGCGGACGTCATGACGAACCACTCCGGTTCAGAGCTCGATGGCCTGATTGCGCGCGGCATTGCGGGGTTGGACTTGCTCATGGACTGATCAGAACAGATAGTACACTTGATCTTAGCAAAAAACCTGAGAAAGGTATGCTTTGTTTTTGTTTTTTGCGCAGCAGCGATGCTAATCTAGTCTGTATCGTTTCAGTTTTAACAGATCTCCCAAAGAACAGGACTGCAACTACAGCCAGCCAAACACAATGAATCTGACGGGGTCTCTGTTTTCTCCACACGTACCCTGCATTGTCAAAATAACCTACACACATGTGTGCGTCACATTACGCCCTCTGGGCTGCATCTCCGCATGGCACGCGATCTACAGTCGGCTGCTTTTTGTTTAGGAGATGTCCGCGTTCATTTAGAGGGGCATGGCGTCGTCGTGCACCAGGAACGAAGGGTACGGTGGTTGGTTCGACACGATTGGTCGTTAGTGAGGGAGGCCGTAGGCAAGGTGATGAAAGGGGTGGGGGTGGCTGAGTGCAATGGGTGTATTTTTCCAGTTCGGTAAAAAGAATCGCATGCGGACGCAATCCATGGGCAATTCGGGCGATAGCGCGTGCCTTACTCACAAAATGAGCAAAACAAGAATGAATTCCAGTGGAATATGGAATGATACACACGATCACATGCGGCCTTGCGGCATGCCTCTGCAGTTAGGTCGATACTGTGTGCCTCAGTAAGGGCCTCACTCCAATACTCCCCAAATGAGCAAAATGATAATTAATCTGCCGCTGGAACATGGACAGATATAGGCAGTAACATGTGCCTCAGCAAGGACCTCACTCCAATACTCCCCAAATGAGCAAAATGATAATTAATCTGCTGCTGGAACATGGACAGATACAGGCAGTAACATGGGGCCTCGCAGCACGTCTGGGTTGAGAATTGGGGTTCTTTTGTGGGCGAGGTCTTTGGAGAGTGTGTGTGATGGGCGTTGGAGAGGTGGGCAGATCGACAACGTGCAGGAGTGGGATAGGGAAGTAGAAGAGAACATTCGAAATCGACTCGAGGGTTAGTTTTTTATTTCCTCAAGGCATACCTTTGCCACTAGCACCTTTTTTTGTACTTCTTGAACTATTTTTTTGTTGTTTTCGCTGCAACGTGATGATGGAGACGTGGATTTGCCGGTTTCCAGCTTGTGCGTGAGCTCTGGCATGCCTGTGTAGATGATGTTTGGCTCCGCGTGTTCTAAAATACCTCTTTTTTCGAGCACGAGCCTAAGCGTGAAACCCTGAAGTCTCTCCAAGTAAATCTTACAAGGCCGTATTCCCCTATGTGCAACCGCATCGGCCTCTGCACCACGGGTCCCATGCTTTGTCTTTGTTTCCACGCGCCTTGCATCCTCAAGGCTGCTTTGCGTGGTATATCAGTACAGAGACCCTTACAGGCAGTTGAAAGAGCCTTTTGGCAACAGTTGAAAGAGCCTTATGGCGACAGTTGAAAGTCTGCAACTGAGGCAATGAACTGGTGTGGCCAACCCACTCGCTTAGAAAGATTTGGTCCTGATGATTATCATAGTACTAAGAGAAGGGGGTGTTCAGCTTCATGGTACAGCGTCAAGGGGGGCCCTACTTGTGAAGACGATATGGATGTATAGATGCTACAAGGGGTGTTGAACTTCATCGTATAACGTCCAAGGGCGCCCCACTTGGGAGACCATAGAGACGTGTAGATGCCACGCGGTTTGTTCGTCTCCCGCCTGGGGAGGGCAGTCCTCTACTGAGTACACTGAACAGGGGTCTGGGGCTCACAAGAGAGGACAAAAAAATTCCCTAAGGAGTCATGTGCATAGCAAAGGGTGTTAGGGAATTGTGACGACCAGTCACCCCTAGGCTGGCTGTGCCATAGAAAGTCTGATCCCACAACCCCTTCAGACTAACAAAACAAAAAGAACAATCTCATGTGCTGCTACTAGCCTGCTAGCAATCGTTCTACGACTACAATCACTTGTCATCAGAACGAAGCGATCCTGATCTCTGGCACCAAATCCGCTGAGTTTATGATCTCTACCGGATCAGCTGACAATATCCGTTCTAATCAATTGGCAAAATGACGTCAACATGACATAGCGTTGAGGCCTCACCTTGGCAAGAGTTTCACCACTTGGGTAAAAGCAGGTGCCCTTGGAAGCATCACGTTGCCTCCACCAAGCAGCTCACTTAGTGAGGACAGAAAACAGCGTAGAAAATGAAGTATGTCATGTAAAGCACGATTTTCCAGATTCAACCTCCAACAGAAACTGAACATCCTCACAATACATGAAAAAGGAATAATGACAGACCCCCTGTCGTCTTGGCGAAAGGCCCACCTAATCCTGCTCAAGTAGGCCAGTCTCCCTTAGTGGGTGCCCTCTTATAGAGTAGCCAGTGCCTGCTCCTCAGCCCCCCTGTCGTCTTGGCGAAAGGCCCACCTAATCCTGCTCTAGTAGGGCAATCTCCCCTAGTGGGTGCCCTCTTCTACAGTAGCCAGTGCCTGCTGCTCCTGCACCCTTCGACCAGAACCCCTCTGATGGCAGCGGCTTGCCATACTTATGTGTATGATGCGAAGCAGTACTGCACAGAAGAGTGACCTGTTTTGGAAACCCGTTGCCCGAATCCACGCAGTTGATGCCGATCTACTTTAGCTGGCACCCAGATAGCTTGAATATGCAAGTGGGTTTGGCTACCTGTAGCTGTTTTCTGAACCAGCGTGCGGCCCTTCCTTCGGATAGGCAATTGAAATCTGTCAAACCTATAAGGAAAAAGTCAAGAAAAGAATACTGGCAGCTAAGGGAAGACTTGACGCACTCCGACAAACTTAGATGCCAGGAACATAGAACCGACCGTCTAGCACATCTTTCAGTTCTCTCGGACTCCATAAGAGGAGTAGTTTGTCCAGTGATGTGATACTATTTACAGAAGATATCTGAATCTCATGCAACCTCCATGGCCAAGGACAGACTTGGTGATGAAGGTGGCCGGGTGATAGAGCCGTTTGATAGCTAGGTGGACCTCTCAATTGATGAGTTGTTCTTCCGTGTGCGAATTTGATTCTGATTTTGGCTCCCCAAACTGAGGTCCTGTAGGCTGTTGCTGCTAGCAGTTTACTGCGCACATTCAGGCCATTATCACGCCTGCACGGGTACAGTGAGGCATTCTTCACTGTGAATCTCGAAAGCAGGTTGAGTTTTCCATACTCGCACTGCGATCACGTGGACGGGATCATGGCACTGCACTGGTTGGGTTCTTGCACTGCTTAGGAGGCCAGGTTCTCTGCAGCACTACAAACTCAGACCTGCAAACGGGGTTCTCATGTTGATTCCCCGTTGTGTCATAAACACATTCCTGCCTCACCTCTTCGACTCCAAGCAGGCAAACCAGTTCCTCCACTGCTTACATGCACGATAATAATATCATTGCACGCAGTGTGACCTAGCTCCCTCTGGGGTTCTCAGTAGAATGGCAGACAGACCATTGCACCTTTACTGAGCCCAATCACTATAATAACCCTACAAGCAGTGATGTGTTCTGGTAGAAGGCAACCCTGTTGCTTAGCAGTTTAGGGATGCCAATACCCCTCAACATATACGCAAAGAGACTTGCTGAAATTTACCATGCAGATGGACCTCAGGTTTTGTCTGAGTGGGCCTTCCAAGCCATCTCCCACTCCAAGTTGCGTTTTTGCAACTTGTTTGTTGAAGGCAGGCAGGGCTCCCGGGAGTGTAGTGCGATCCCAGAAGCCCTCGAGCCAACTACCAGCGGGAACCCCAATGGCGGTATGACATCAAGCATAATGGCTGCTATCAGGAAAATGCTGTGTCTACTGGCACGATTCGCTACACCTGCAGAGACAAGTTCCCTTGCCCTTGGCCCCTGGGCATTCCTCTTGGCCCTGTTGCTTGCTTGCCTGTCGCTGGAAATCCCCCTTGAACCCCTGTCCCTGCTGCTTGCTTCACTGTTCACCGCCTGCTTCGAGAATGCATCCCATTTCTGTGATACCTCACACACTTCCATCCATCTTTAAGATCTATTCCGTCCTGCTTCCCCCTCTATATCCCGGATTAGAAAGTGGTTTGTGCAAAGGGTACCCCAAGCCGCCTGGCATAGTTTGCCAGCAACACCTCGTACTCCTTGCACATCTGGGACAGCCGCTGGTGATCCGTCCTCAGATCTTCTATCTCTTCGAAGAAGCCAGGGTCCAGGGCCTCCAGATCCTCCTTGAGGCGCTCGTTCTCAGTCCTAACACGTTCCAGCTCTTTTACAACTTGTGCATACCTTCCTTTCCACTTGGCCACCTCCTTCCTGGCGTTCTGCAGCAACCTTGCATGCGAAGGCCCTGCTGCTGACGCCTCTATTGTGGCCGGGGCACCCGGAAATTCATCACCTGTTGTATCCGCTAAAAGTAGCTCCTTCTCCCTCTCTAGATCGGCTACGCGTTCTGTCAACTTGCCCACCAACTCCTGTAGCTCCTGAGACTCCACTGCGCTTCGAATTGCTAATTCTCCATTTAGCAGGTCCAGCTCGTCCTCTCTCCTATCTACCTCTTCCCTAAGCTGCTCAATCATCTCCCCTCTTGCTGCCAATTCTTCCTTCAGCCTCCTAATCTCATCGCTGCCAGACTGCAGTTGTTCCTCTAGCGACTGGACGATCCTAATCATCTGATCCGATTCTCCAACCCTATCCTGTTCGTCCTCACCATCTCTTGTGGGTGGTATTCTAGTCTCGGCTGCCCTCCTTTCCCTCTCTGCATCTTGCACAGCTCTATTCAGTCGCTTGATCTCTTCTCTTTCCTTTCTCAGTTGTTTGCGCAAACTCGTGTTAGTTTCTTCCAATCTCACGCTTCTTCTCCTCACTTCCTCTGCCCCTCTTCTGTCCTCTCTCACCTTCTCAACTTCCTCAGTCAGGTCTCCCACCTTTTTCTTGAGCTCTTTGTTTTTGTTCAACACGTCCATGTACTTTGCATTGCTGGCAACGTTCTTCTTCAGTCCTTCATTCTCAGTCCTCAGTTTCTCGACAACCTTCGTCAGACTCTCCACCACAGCTTCCAACTCCAGTTCCCGCGAACCTCTCCCAGAACAACTGCTAACTCTCCCTCCCCCATGGGTTGACCCCTTTCCTTCAGCAGAGGCGATAGCACCACTTGCACTGCGGGTGACACGTGTGCTAGATCCACCACCTGGCTCCACCCCAGCTTTGCCTGCTGACAACGGCCAAAGCTCCTCATCGAACAGACACTTGAGTCGTGCTCTGAGCCTGCTGCCTTCCAGCAAGGCTTGTTCCTTCTCGAATCTCAGCTCCAAGTTCGCGTTATCTCTCGCTAAAATTCGGTCCTCTAACTCTTGCCTGGCCTTCCGTCCGTCTTCCACCTCCTTCTCGAGTTCCTGCCATCTCATCAGCCTCTCCTCTTCCTCTACTTCCACCAGTGGCTCCGACCGTCGAGCATCTACTCCTCGGCTGGCAGAAGGAGACGAGGTCGCCCGTTGCTTGCTGTCCCTTTCTGCATTACCGTCTGCACTGAGACGCAAAGCTTCAACCTCTCTCTTCAGCCGATTTATCTCAGCCTCTTTCTCCACCATCGCTTCTCTTCGTAACTTCTCGTTCTCCACTTCAACTTCCTTCATCTGTGCGAGTATCTCTTTGATTCTGTCTGCGGTGCTCTCGGTAAACCTCGGAGCTCCAGCGGCTCTGCTCGCCGCCTCCAATGCCCGTATCCTTTCTCTGAGTTTGTTCTTCTCTGTCTCGAGAAGCTTCACGGTATCATCCGCCTGCCTTGCTCGGCTTGCATGCTCCTCGGCTTCCCTCCTGCTTTCCATCAGCCTCGATCGCATCATATCTACCCTCTTCCTTAACTTTTTCTCCTCCTCCCATCTCTCTATGACATCGTTATTGCCTCCAGCGAGACCTGCCAAAACCCCTTTCAAGGATTCCCCTGTCTTATTTCCCCGTTTCTTCTCCACTGTATGCACTCTCTCCCTTTGGACCTCCCTTCCTAGGCCTGCATCGCTAGGCGGTTTGTATTGAGCAGCGGTGTCTTTCCTAGGGGGAGCACCCAGTCCACCACTTGTCCTCCTCCTTCCCTCCCAAGCGGAACCCATTACTCCTGGCACGCCTCTGATCTCTTCTTCACCGCCCTCCTCTCTCACTCGCATCCTAAGTTTCCTGTTCTGCTCCGTCAGCACCTTAATCCTCTTCTCCAGCTCTGTTACTCGCAAGTCCAGGACACTACTCGGCTCCCTCCCTCTCTGCAACGAAGTGTGTGCCTCTCCTTTGTTTCCTTGATTACCAAAATTGGTGGTGACGACACCTACATTTGCGGAGGCACGAGACCTGACCGCTGAGGCATTGGCGGTGGTTTGCCTCTCTTGTGCGAGCTCCTTCTCCAATCTTGCACACCTCTCCTTCCTGTCTTCGGCAATCTTCTTCCACCGATCGATATCGTTTCGCGCACGCTCCAGTTGCAGTGACATAGCTGAGGCCTCCTGAGCAAGAACCTGAGCCTCCACAGGATCTGGAATTTTCTGTGGCACCTCTATGGAGCCACTGGCACTTGCAGCGGTCGCAACCCCTCCTGTCTTATGAGGTGCAGTCAGAGCCAGCTTTGCTTCCAACTCCTTGATGGCCACGTGCAAGCGTTGGATCTTCTCCTCCTTTTCGACAAGCTGGGTTTTCATCTTCGAGACCAACAGATCAGCCACCTTGGACGTTCCCTTCAGCCTCTCCAACTCCAGCTCCTGGACCAAGCGAGCAAGATCCGTTGATCTGGCCAACTTCACTTTGGCAAGTTTCTTCTCCAGAACATGACACCTGGCCTTCCATTGAAGAACTTTTTTCTGCATGGCATCTGGTGCTACCAGCCCCCATCGACCCCCTACGTGCCTCACTTCTCCTTCCTCACGTGTCTCTCCTCGGCCAACCCCTCCTCCATCTTCTCCCTTGCCCTGATCAGCAGCACCTCTGCTTCCCGCTGGAACCAGGTGCTGAAGTCTCCCACGGGTGGGAGAGTTTGGTGCAGAAAGAGGCCGAGCGGACTGGTCATCTTGTCGCTGCACTCCAGAGAACTGGCCTCGCATCTTCCTACCGCTCGGAGTGGGCGGAGCTGAGCGCGAAGTCAGAGACGATGAAGGGGGCGATGGCTCAGAACTGTGGCTGTTACTTCCCCCCTCCGGAGACTCCGTTGCCCGAGGGTCTTCCTCCTCTACCCGGTCCCCTCCCCTTCGCCCACGCCGATGCCCTTCCTCCCAGGCAAGGACTCTTCTCGATGATTTCGAGGGCATCTTCTTCCAAGAGGAGGAGGAGGAGGAGGCTCTCCCTCTAACGTTTTTGCTCAGACTTAGGAGAGCTTCTTTCATGCTCTTGATCCCTCGTTCCTTTCTCTTAAACAGTGCCTGATTCAGCCGGTCGATAGTCTCTCTGGATTTCTCAATATCCTCCATCGCTTTTCTCCTCATTTCCGACATCGCCTCCCTCACGCTCTTCAGCTCTTCCTCCTTCTCCCTCACCTTCCTTTGGAGTCTGTCCACTGTCGCCTGGGCGACAACGGCCACTTGCTTGGCCACCACACTCGTGCCCTCTCCCAACCTCACCTCCTCTTCTGACCCTATTTCATCGCTCCTTCCCCTTCCAGGCCTCAGAAGATCGCCCTGTCTCGGAGGAGTCTGGCTTTGCTTCTGTAAAGCATCATGACGCTCGGGGGGGTGACAAGTGGCGCACAGCGGCATCTGCTCAATTTGCCTCTCGAGGCGTGCAAGCAGGTTCTGCCGGTCCTGATCCGCATTTCTAAGCAAAGCCTGCTTCTCCGCCACCAACATCTCCAAGTCGGATACCTTGTACAGGGCCTGTTCGCGCTCGTACTTCAATTTGCTGATCGTCTCGATCTGAGCAAACATGGTTCGCCGGTTTTCCTCTGTTTCTCGGAGAAGCTCCCTCAGCTCAGCCTGCAGCTTTCCTTCCCTGGGGCCAGCAGCATTTTGACCATCAACTTCCCGCACCGAGATAGCTCCCTTGCGCTCCAACATCTTCAGCTGCGTGGCCATCAAATCCCTATCCCGTCGGATGGCCATGAGTTCCTCTTCCACGGCTGCGACTCGAGCCCGAGACTCCCGGGACTCCCTCTGCAGTCTCTCTCTCTCCCTCATGGCTTCCTCTTCTCCAGCCCTGATTCTCTCCTCTCTCTCCTTGTCCGACTTCTCTAGAAAAGCAACGCCTTCCCTGAGCTTCTCAAGCTCCCTCTCTTGCCTGGCGATCGTCAGCTTTAGGCTGAGCGTTTGCTGACTTAGCTGGACGTTGTGCTTGTACACTTCTGGGATCGTTTTGTCCTCCGCCATCAGCTTGTCCATCTCTTTCGCTCTCTCAGCGTCTCCCTCGGCTTCCTCGAGCTTCCTGCGCAACGACTCGATTTCCTCGTTCCTCGTTGTCATTTCCTTTTCCATCTGCTCACACTTTGCCTTCGTCTGCAGCAGCTCACGACACCATCTCCGGGCGGTTTCCCCCTCCACTTGCCACGCAAGCGCGGCTTGCAGCCGTCCGATGAGCCGCAGATTATCCGTTCTCTCCGCGCGTGCGTTCTCCTGACAACGAAACAGTTCGGCTTCCTTGTCGTCGATTTTATGAAGGAGTCGCATGTTAGTTTCTTTCAGGCGTCGTCTTTCAGCCTCCACACGATCCAGCTGCCGTCGGAGAGTGATCTCCTTCTGTCTAATTCGGATCATTCGCTCGTGCATCTTTCCCAGCTCCGCACTTCCATCGCTGATCTGCTCCAGGTCGCGCAGAGCGGCCCTCAGATCCTGGATCTCCGCCTTCGCCTTCGTCTCGTTCGCCACCACCGCGTTCAATCGGGAATCGGAGGCAGACGCCTCTTGTTCCCATTTCCGTGCTTCGCTCTCGGCCTTCAGAAGCCGTGCTTGAAGTTGCTCGATCATCTCCACCACTTGGATGTATTCCTTCTTGTCCACCAACTCCTGTGCCCCGCCTTTCCTCGCCTCCCGTTCCGCTTCGAGGGTAGCGTGGAGCTGGCGCGCCATCTCCCTCAGCTGCCCTTCCACTTCCTTGACTCGCCCCTCTGCCACTTCCTTCAGCTGCATCGCCATCTCCCTCTCCCTGACTGCTCTCTCCTCCCTCTTCTTGCTCGCAGCTTCGCTTACTCTGAGCACGGCCAACTCACCTCCCTCCCTCACCGCCTTCTCTGCCTTTGCGCCAACAACTCCATTCCCTCCCTTCTTCTCTAGCGCCAGTAATACCCTCTTCAGCTCTTCGCATTGGGACTTCCAGTGTTCGATCTCCTCCTCACCTTGTGCAGGTCTAGAGGAGTCTCGCTTCTGCTGTTTATCTACTTCGCTGCCGCTTTGGTCACTCACCCATGACATCTTCTCTTCCATCCACTTCTTAACCTCTTGTCTGGCCTTCAGGAGCTGTCTCACAACGTCTTCATACTCTTGCTTCCCTATGCTCTCTGCCAATTTCCTCTCGAGGACCCTTCTCCTATGCTGCCCTTCGTCCCTCGCACTCTCCAAATAATTGATATAAGGTCTTACGTACGACTCCACCTCTCTGCATTCTTCTTCCGCCTCCTCTGCTTTCCTCCTTGCTGCCGCCTCCCCTTCTCTTGCTGCCGCTAAGCTCCTTCCCATCCTGATGAGTTTCACCTGCAGAACTACTGTACGTCGAATCAGCGCCACCTCTCGACTAGACCTCCCCCCACCACTGGTCCTTGCTCCCTCCTCCCCCTTCCTCGCCTCTTCGCTCCCATCAGCAGATGCGCTCCGCGCAGCCGCTCTCTCCCACTCTTCCGCTGCCGCACGCGCTTCTTCTGCCGCCTGTTTGGACTCCTCGACCTCCCTCTCCAGTCTCTGCCTCTCCGTCTTCCACTTCTCCCTCTCCCCAATGTACTCCCTGTACAACATGCTCCGCTGATTGCACAGCTGCAGCATCTCCTCTTTATACTTCTCCATATCCGACCAGGCAGATGTCAGCATTTCATCCTTCGCTCCAACCTGTTCGAGAGCCTTAATCAATTGCGATTGCAGCCAAGCAACATCACCCTTCCTCTGGGTCTTCTTGCATGCGGCACCATCGCCGTTCGATCCGACTCCACCACTTCTCTGTTCTCCCTGTACGATCTTCTCAACCTCTCCCCTGTGAGGCTCTACTACGTCCTCTTTCCTCTTCACCTGTTTCGGGCTTGCCTCCACCATCTCCGTTGCCACCCCTCCTCCTCCTCCTGTCCCAGCAGACTCGTCGGTTATTGTGCCCGAACCCACTGTCGTCTTCTCAGCTAGCTCTAAGCGCAATAACTTTCCTGCGCTCGCTTTCACCCCCAAAAGCCGCTTCCGATTCTCCCGTTCCTCATCCTTCATCTCTCTCTCCCTCACTCTCTTTCTTCCTGTTTTCTTTCTGCCTCCGCGGTCGGCGGCGGCTGGGCTCTGTCGGAGGAGCTTCAGCACCTCGCCGATCTCTGCCTTCACCCCCTCCCATTCGTGCTCCCTTACTCTGTCAGCCCCCGTGCCTCGCTGTTCTTTCCGGTCCCAATCGTCCTCATCGACCCCTCTGTTCTCCCTGTTACGCCTCCTCCGCTTCCCTTGCCCCTTGTTGTTCGACATGAGCCAATCCCCGTACCTCCATAACCTCTCCAATATCGTGATCACTCTCTCTCTCAGCAGTTCTGCTACCCCTACTCCTCCTTGCCCGTCCCTCGATCTGGGTATATTGTTGCTATAGTTGGAGGGCAACCCCTCGCTTGCCCATCCCCACTTGTCCCGGTTTTGTTGGGACCCTCCGTCCTCTTTCCACTGGACAACAGACATGACACCTCGACTTCTGCTGTCTCGCTCTGCGACTCTGGCCACCTCCTCCTCCTCCTCCTCCTCCACTTCCATATCGCCCTCCCAAAGTGATCGGCTTTCTGCTGTCGTCGCCCCATTCCGCACTCTCCCATACCTTAGCCATTCTGCATACTTCTCTAGCCTCGCTAATTGCTTGGATGTAAGTCCCATCTGCGCAGCCACCATGCCGTGGTGCTTGACACGGAAACGAAGTTCGTGCTTGAGCTCGGCTCTCTCCTCTTCCAGATCAAACACCTCCTTCTCCAACTGCGCGTTGAGAGCGCGGAGCTCTTCCAGTTCTATGTCCTTTCGTAATCGGAAATCGCCCAAGTTCAGCACGGTGTCATCGGCAATTCCTGCCATCTCTCTCAGACGCAAGTTCTCCTCGATCAGCTCTTCCATCCTCTGCTCGCTCTCGCTGAGCTTCTTCATACACGAGTGCAGTTCGTCCTCCCCCTCCCGCGCAAGACGCTTCAGCTTGCGCACCTCCGCCATGGCTGCGGACAACCCATACACACCCGCCTCGTAGTCTGCCAGGCGCGACACAGCCTCGTCTCTCTCCGTCTGCGCCTCCACGAGCGAGTTATCAAGCTGCGCGTACCGCTTTCTTTCCGCCTCTAGGTCGTCCATCAGCTCCCTCCTCTCCCTTTCTCGCTTCTCCATCAGCCCCTTTTGTCTCGCCAGCGCGGCTGCAATCTCATCCTCTCGATCCTTCTCCAGCTGCTCGTACGCTTCGAGCAGCAGCACCTCCTTCCCCTGTTGCTGCCTCAGCTGCAGCCTCAGTTCCCTCAACTCCTCTCCCACTCGATTCCCGCCTTCTCCATATTCAGGATCGCCGAGCTTTTTCTGTTTTTCCCTGACCACAGCATCATCCCCTCTCCTCCTGAATTCGTCGTCCAGCATCATGAACTGCTCCTCCAGACGTCGTCTTAACCCATCCGCTTCGGTCTGCAGCTCCTGGTTCTTCTTCAGCAGCTCAGCCTCCCGCGACGCCCATTCCTTGGTCATCTGCGCAAACCTCTGCTCGAACTGCTCGAGAAGCATCATCTTCTCCGCCGCTTCTTTCTGCAGGTCACCCATAGCCTGTCTGAGCTGTTGGTTATCCTTCTCCTGCTCCTCCGCTGCAGCCACCAACTGGCTTATCCTGGCATCCCTCTCCTTCTGCGCATCGTCCAGCTGCACGATGTTATCACTTAGCTGCAGCACCTCCGCCAGCAGCTCTTCGTTCTTCGCTTGCAGCTCGCCCAAGTGCGTTTCCAGCAGCTTGTTCTCTCGATGATAGCGCTCGAGATCTCTGTTCTTCGCCTGCAGCTTGAACATCAAGTCTCTATCGTCCTCCTCCTTGGTCTGCAGCATCTTCTGCTCCAGGCTCAGCTGCCCACGCAAATCTGCCACTTCCTCCTCCAAGTGCTTGCACTGATCCCTCAGGCTTCTCAACTGGCTTCTTTCCTCTCGAAGCTCCTGCTCTAGTCTTTCCGACCTTTGCCGTTCCATCTCGACGGTGCTCTCAGCCTTCTCTAGTTCGTTCTGAAGACGATCGTTCTTGGATCGCAGGTCGTCCATCTCCCGCCGCAGCTCCGTCTCCAGGACGCGTTGCTCCTCATCTACCTTCGCCTCCGCTAACTCTGCCCGCAACAGATCGATCTCTTGCTCGTAGTCGTCAAGCTTCTGTAAAGCATCTTGAAGATCCTGGGTCAGATCAGCCACCTCGACTTCCAGGCGGCTGACCTTGCCCTGCGGGTCCTTTCCCTCCTCACGAGACTCGTTCAAATCCTCCTTCAGCTTGTCTATCTCGTTCGCCATCTCTCCCATAGAGTCGGAAGCCATCTCCACCGTGTATTCGAGACAAAGCTGCAGCAGTTTTGCGAGGTGGACAGCTCTGTCCACAGTGACCTCTGAGGAGTCGACATCGATCTTCACGGGAACAAGATTGCGAGCCGCTTCTTCTAAAGTCTCCATCATCTCTGCTGAATCGGCGGAGCGGTTTTGCAATGAATCCACGTCGATCTCTAGCACAGACTCCCAATCCAAAGGCTGAACCTTGGGCATGAACTGGAAGCCACCGCCCTGCTGTAGAGGCGGCATCTTGAACGATCGCCACGATCGCCCAGCTGCTGTAGCGATCAACGCGAGTCCTCATACATTCATTCACTCAAACACACCCGCCGCCCTTCAAGAATCTCCAAAGACCGGCGTGGCACGGGACTTCTTCATGCGCATTATCTCTACAAATTCCGCTATGAAGAAGTAAGTTTCTGTCTCTCGATTTGACACACCCTTCCAAGTAGCAACATTTGTTATTATTTACTACTGCCTCTATCATAGCCGCTTCGCCCCCCTCGAACGAGGGAGCGTGCGCACTCGTGGAGTAAGTTGTGGCTTGCTTTTGTTCCTTGCTCTGTGCGTGCGTGCTTCCGTGCGTGCGTGTCTGCATCTTGGAGGGGGGCGGGGGGGGGAGCGAGCGAGCGAGCGAGCGAGCGAGCGAGCGAGAGAGAGAGAGAGAGAGAGAGAGAGAGAGAGAGAGAGAGAGAGAGAGAGAGAGAGAGAGAGAGAGAGAGAGAGAGAGAGAGAGTCGCACAGGGCGTGGAAAACGGGGGTGAAGGCAGGGTTTCGATGGGTGTTTTGTTGCCCGAGCGCCTCCGACAGGCTCTAAATAACGCAAACAAGAGCGCCTTGACCACATGCAAACATAGGCGCAGTTGCTTTTATATGGATATTCGAAACTGGCTGGTCCCGTCCCTCCTCTTATATGAGATACCAAGAGCAAAGCCACCCTCGCTTCCCTTTCCCCATCCGCATTTTACTTTCTGATTCGCCATGAGAAACAGGCGGGACTCAGGTTTGCCGTCCCGCCGTCCCCCTTCTGCCATTCGCGCTAACGGGCAGGGACGCTCCTGGGTTGTTGAGCCGCTGGACTTACGTGTACATCATCGACTGTGTAGAGGTGGAGTCGGGAGCAAACGATAACAAAACGAGTTCGACAAAGACTACGAAACAAAATTTGCTCAGACAGCTAACTAACAACAAAAGCCTTTCCGATCGCCACAGAATATGCCTTACAACGACAGCGACGCTTAACTGAATGTCCAGCAGCTAGTATAATGCCAAGCAGTGTAAACAAACCTTGCCACACATGAGCATCACGTGCGCAGAGGGAACAAGTCTTCCAGGAGCGCATGAGCTTTGATTTGATGAGAAAAAAAGTACATCAAATTTCGCCGTTGGCAACGACTACGTACAGCCACGAGATGTGCCTCTTGAACGCTCACTTATCAGCCAATCCACTGGGCGCACTCACTGGGGCCTGCTTTGCAGCACACTTCCCAGCAAGTAGATGGTTATGACAACGATGATGATACTGATCATGATGGTGACCATGATCTGCTTCGCGAGTTCCTGGTAGTATCATGATGGTGAGCATGATCCGCTTCGCGCGTACCACCACCACGAACTAACTCGCTACTCGTAGTACTCGACTGGGGGCAGGAACGAATTTCGGCGCCGGTGTTTGATCGCTGCAGGATCTGAACGTCAATGAACGCGACCATGCAAGAAGTACACCGGTCGTGAAACATCGGGCCTTGGGACACTACTCCCGACTTGGGGCCTCGCCACACCACTCTTGAAAACTCATTTTCAAGAGTTGCGGCATAGCCGCACAGCCTCTTGAAACTTGGGGAAGTCAAGAGCAGTCAGAGTGGCTCTTGAAAGGTTTCAAGAGCAGGGGTCTCGCTCCACTACGCTAGACTTGCAAAAAAAAATCGTGAGTGCTTCTAGAGCTGTCAGAGGTCTAGCACTCTTGAAAAACTTCTAGAGCTGTCAGAGGTCTAGAACTCTTGAAAAAGGAAGCATGGCTCCACTTACCCCAGACTCAAGAACTACCGAAGCACTCACAAATTTCTCAGTGCTACATGACAGCCCTTCTACAGCTCTAGATGATAGCGCCAGTTCGTTCTGATGGTCGGGGCAGGAGGTACACTCGAGAAAAGAGAGGCCGGAGCGCGGGTAGGAGGGAGGACTTTAGAAAACCTGAGTGTTGCAGGCCGTAAACTCTATACAAATCGAGAGTACCCTTCGAGAGCGCTTTCTGACAGCTCTCAAAGGGTGTTGTCATGAGTTCCAGTCTAGAGTAAGTGGAGCAACGCGTTACTCTCGAAACTTCGGGAGTAGTGGAGCGAGGCCCCAGCTCTTGAAAGATTGGAAACCCCAGCCTGCAACTCGTGTGTTTTCAAGTGTCCTTGGTCGAACCCTTGAGGGACTTTCAATTTTCAAGAGTTGTCAGGCCGTTATCCTAATGCCATTCGAAAAAAACAAAGTTGTATGGTTGTCGTTTTTCATCTTCTGTCCAACACCATCGCCCTTTCGAAAGTGTTGTGTGGCGAGCGGTCGCTTTACTCTTGAAAACCCAACTCTTGAGAACATCTGACAAGTCTTGAAAAATTTCCCCGTTTCAAGAGTGGTGTGGCAAGGCCCTTGGTCATTTTCGGGACATATGGCTCTCTATTCTACTTGCTTCGTAGTTCCAGTCTTCGAGTGAGTGAGTTGAGTGAGAGGCCGAAGTAAGTAAGAGAAAACACAAGAGCGCCCATAGGATCACTTTTACAGACGAGCGTTGCCACACCAGCTCCCGAGTTCAACCTGTCAGATTGAATTCGGGAGCTGTCAGAATGTGGCTCCCGACAGCACTCCCGAAATCGCTTGAGCCTCCCGCCTGTAAAAGACCATTTTCGAGAGACCTCTGACAGAGGTCTGTGTTTCGACCAGAGAACTCGTGCGGAGATAAGCATTTTCCTCATAGTTTTCGTCGCCACATGCTGAACAGTGTTGGGCAGTGCTGGATAGTCTCTGTTGGAATCTGTGTGCGCCTCCCGAAATCGCTTGAGCCTCCCGACAGCTCTTGAAATCTGTGTGCGCCTCCTGACCTCCAAATCGAAGAGCGCCCCAAGTTGGGAGTGCAATGTGGCGAAGCGCACTCCCGAATCGATTTTCGGGTCTTCAAACGTTGGGGAGTACTCCCGAAATTTTTCTCAAAGTCGGGAGCAGTGTGGTGAGTCCCATCATCACCGGTGAATCGTACGTAGAGAAACAGAAAAGGAGAGGAATCGAAGGTCTGTGACAAACCTTTAAAAAAAAAAAAAAAAAACTTGTTATTAGCAGAACAATGTTGGGGGATGGTTTGGTCAGCGCCACGATTGGCACAACGCTCGGTCCTAGCGCTGCTTACCGTAGGGTAAGCCTGGTCGGCGACAGTTGTCTCATCGTGAAACCGCTTCCGTAGGTGATACCTCATCCCCTCAATTCATCGAGGACGTTAAGGCTAAAGAACCATAGTCGATGGTATCAACGACTAGCTTAGGCCGCACCATAGCCCTTACCACGCCGTTTGTAAAAAGTTTAAAAGTGAGTACTGAGGTTAGTGGACTGAGGTTTTAACATGGAGGAGGCACCAGCGGAACAAGCAGGTTGCGATGCAAGATCTCAAGTATTAAACGACTACCAATTGGAGGAGGACCACATTAGAAAGATGATGAGGGCGTGTGAGGAAGGCATCCTCCCCACAAACATTGATTCGGGAAAAATTAAAGTCAATGGGAGGGAAGTTAAATTTATCTTAAATTCCTCAGTTGATGAATTGAAGATGAAGTGGCACAAGGAGAGAACGGTGACGGTTATCTTTCGAGAAGGATCGTTTTTTTTCCCGAAGATGGTGAAAGAAGATGTTATGAGAGCATACGAAGATGTTTGGATAGAGATGAGGTTTTTTGTCATGATTTTACGCGTGGCTGGATCAAGGTAGAGAGTTCAAACATCGTTTCTTATGTTTCGAGAGCACTCTAACTTGATGTTGACCAAGAAGACGGACTACATCTCCCGGGCGAATACCACCTAGAACGAAGTTCAAGCCCTGGATGACTTGGACAGAAGTCCGGGATTGGAGGCGTACAGTGGACCAAAATATCTTTTGGGTGGTGGCGGTTGGAATACCACTTGACGAAATGGTATTTCTTCATGATGACATAAAGAGGAGTATTGGCAAAATTGTCAAGGTGCACCTTCAAGAGTCGAACCAGAATCACCCGAAGTTGGTCAGCGTGAGATTCGACACCGATCTATTGATGAGAGGGAATATAAAAAGATAAGATATTTGTTCAGCCTCACCTATGCGACACGTTGAAAGTCCGCATGGCCTTGACAGAATCGGAGTGTTGTCGAAGATGCAGAAGTTTTTTTCCACACAGAGGAAACATGTCGGAGAACTAATCATAATAATAGGAAAGTGACGTCCTCCGACCCCCCCCCACTCGGCAACGGTCTCCGGAGTCGGTGGCGGCAACCGGTATAACGGTGCCCTACGGCCCCCGGGCGCTCCTCACCCCCAAGGCACAACAGCCTCCTCCGCATCTCCGGCAGCGTCAGGACAAGCATCTTCGACGGCTACAACACGGGTGAATCCAATCTTCTCTTCGGGCCCATTTCCTAGTCACGTGGCGAATGGAGTGGCACATCCCTTACCAGCAACTGCAACCGATCAAATTACTCGAGCTGCTTGAGCGACGTTTCTAACAGGGTTGCCACCACACTGCTACGTGGTGCAACAAGCTCATCCGATCGCGGGTCAGCAGCTGACTGGTAGCCCCTCATTCGTCAACATTCACTCCTTCACGCCATGGACGCGAGGCATGATGAGCAATGCCTATGCACAGGCGGTCGGGGGACTTCCCCCCCAACTTCAATAACTGACATCGTCACGACACTGAGCCCCCCAGTCTCAAGAGCACATGAAATTTCTCTAGGTAAGATGCGCAGGTTAAGCGAAGAGGGTGAAGTGGATAACCTCCGAGTCAAAAACTCGGTCTCCTCTAGTGAAGGTTCCCAACACTCAATGAGAACTTCACAACGAGTAGCCTCGGCGCTAGGGAAACGCAAATCAAACCATGCTCGTATATCTACCCTCTCCAAAGGCCAGTTTGCTGTGGAGTCTAAGCTTCTCACGATAGTGGGTGTATTTATGAGAAATGCCTTTTGGATAATCTATTGGTCCGACGCTGATAGTAATCCGATCTTACTAAGTATATTATGTCCCGAATTTCCCATGCGTCACGCCTCAGAGTCTCTCGCCATGAACTTATTCCATAACAAATTGACTATTCAGATTATAGTTGAAGTCT